GACAGCCAGGGAGCCATTGCTCTAGCCAATAACCTTGTGTTGCACGGCCTGACCAAGCACATGAGGGTGAAGTGGCACTGGACAAGGAGCATGGTGGCCGCGGGTGAAGTTGAGTTGCGCTACGTGAAGACGACGGGGCAGCCAGCTGACATGATGACCAAGAGGCTGGTGGAGCAGCAGCATTGGAAGTGTTGCAAGCTGGCTGGGATGGCTCTGAACTGAGAGAGCAAGATCCTAAGGCCAACAACCCGAGGGGGAGTTTGTTGGTGCAACCCTACGGTTTGCACTCGGCTTGTTGTCCATGTGCGTGTGCATGCATGCGTATGTGCGTGGAATGGTATGAGTGCATGAAATAAATATATATTTCATGCTTATAATGGTGTATGAATGATGGGTCATGATGTCGAGTGTGTGTGTCGAGTCAATAGCGAGTTATCGCTAGCCGCGTGTTAATGCGGTCATTTGTGTCTCGCGCGCGGTTTCTATTTTGTCGTGTGTCCCGTGCGCGGTTTCTGTTTTGTCGCTTGTCGAACGTTCGGCGTGTCGCAGGTGTGTGCAGCAGACCCATCAAGAACTCAAGGTTGAGTTTGTGATGAAGAACCCGAGCCTTGGTTGCAAGCTTCAAGTGATTTCGAAGCTGGCCAAAAGGGTACACCTCAAGATATTGAAGATAGTTACATTACAATGTGTAGTGTAACATTTCTATGGGTGTAGGCCCTTGTGGAGGGTAGTTTCGAGACCCTTCTTGGTTGGGGACAGTGTGGCACTGTTCCACATCACTGTACCTCGGCTCTTGGGGTTTGTAGGAGCTGGGAGTCCTTCCCAACTCGTAACTCTTCCTAGCTGTTCGTAATTGTGTTCCTAAGACTATGTTGCTGCCATAGTGCCGGGCGTTCAAACTGACGCTGTGTCGTCAATTCTTGATGAAATCGTGCGACATAAATTGCTTGTTGTATGCCACGTTAAGACGCTCCAGATCCAAGTTGAATGAGGTCAATTGGAGCTGTGACCAGAAAGCTATGATAGTTTAAAGCCGCTGTGCAGAAATCCGACTGTGCACTCTATCTTTGGTTCTAGGCCTATTGGAGCCTATTGTGACTATAACAAAACTAAGACCGACGATTTTGAGATATTTTGGCACATAATCTTCATAGACTCGGTCCTTAGTCTCTAACAGGACGAACCGCCGTCACCAGAACAAGAGCCGCAAGAAATTGAAGTCATCGGTGCTGAGTACAGTTATTTTCAGATTCCAATGACGGGACTCTTCGTCCATGATCGGCCAAGACCTAAGTCGCCACCGTCAACACATTTGCTCGTCACGAGCAAGCAAGTCGATGCCGGTGACACTGATGACATCATCGGAATTCCGCCTGCCCTCCTGGAGTAAAACTCTGTTCGAGCCTTTGCAGCTGACGCCGACGCCGCCGCTAACACGGGACCTGGAAAAGAGCAGGACGACGCATCAGCACGGCACAAATATTATCAGAAGACTCTCGGCTATCATGCGGATCCTGAAATCTGGCACGAGCGCCTCGGACACCCCTCACACACTACACTAAAGAACTCACTTAAGGCCAGAGTCTTCGACAACGGCGCGCTCCTCCTGCCTCGAGAAGGTTGTATGCACGTCAGTATGAGTGCATGTCATCCTAACGTCCTGCTGTGTGCTCGTGCAATCCATGCTTGCGACATTTGTATGAGCATAAACCATTATGCATTTCTGTTGGATTTTACCACCTCTGTATTTTTCTCCAAGTCTAAATGCTTGATCGCGCAGGAGAAATCCAGAGCTTTCCAACGATACCAAGATCGCCTTATTCCGACCAAGATCGCCCAAGTTACAAGATTTCCAAGATTTGGGAATTCTATCTTAATTTGGGATATTAACTAAAGTGGGCGATTATTGGGTCATGACTATAAAGGGATCTTTGGTTGGGTGGTTAGGAAGGCAACTTTGACTTTTGGATTGGGGTGGCTAGAAGTTTCTAGCATGGGTTGCAATTGTTGCAACACCTAGGCAAAATTCAATTGGATTGGATTTTGCATGTGACACCTCAAGGACCTCATCATGAGGGTTGCATCTTTGATGCTAGGAAGGTTCCCACCATCCTTCCCAAGCATTTGGAGAGCCTTCCCTCACAAGGTTCTCTTGAAACCCCCCAACTCCACATTCTATGCTTAATGTTTGTTCTTCCTCCATCCTTTCTAGTGAAAGCAGTAGCTATACGTTTTTCATTCGTTCTCACTTTCTAGACCATGAAATCAAGTTGTAGCTAAGACCAGCGCGCGCAATCCTACCAAGCGGATTTGCGTTTAGTTGAGATTTGAGATCGTCGTAAGTCTTCAAAGTGACCGGATCTTGTGCAACAATCATGCGGATCGTGAAACCTGGCACCAGCGCCTCGGACACCCCTCACACGCTACACTAAAGAATTCACTTAAGGCCAGAGTCTTCGACAACGGCGCGCTCCTCCTGCCTCGAGAAGGTTTTCTCTTTGCGGACTCAGCTGACCCGCCATGCATCATCTGCCCAACAGCGTCGCTCACCCACAAGCCGTTTCCCGACTTACCTCCGGGATACGAACCATACAAGCCGTTGGAAAAAGTCTACAACAACTTCATGATCCTCCGCCACGAAGGACTCGACGGTGAATTATACACGCTTACCTTCATCGACGCGTGCACGCACTACGTCTGGGCTATTAATACCGACTGTCGCTCTCTTGGCTTCGAGTGCTTCGTGGCGTGGATGAAGCGGGCTGAGCGTCAATCCGGGCTAAAGCTGAAGAGCTACCAGACAGACGGGGGTTTGGAGTTTTTCTTAACGGAGTTCAAGGAACTTTTCAAGTAGAAGGGGATTGAGCAACTGGTGTCCCTGCCCTACGCTCACGAGCAACAAGGAGTAGCAGAACGGACAAACTGGAGCTTCGCTACACGGATGAGGGCCCTGACGAAGCAGTCGGCCATCCCAACCAAATATTGGCCGTTTGCGATGAATCACGCTGTTTGACTGCACAACTTGCTGCACAACTTGCTGTCCTCCCAAAGCCTCAAGAACAACAATTCCAGTTACAGGGCATGGATGGGCAGGAAAGCGGACACACGACTGCTTTGGGTGTTCGGCTGCATGATGGTGGATCCACCTCGGAATCGAAAAGGAATACAAGACGTGGATCGTACTGGACTACGCGACACACGAAGTGACAAAATCACGTGACTGCATCTTCTACGAGAAGCTGACCCTGCCACTGTTCCAGGACCACTGGGAAGCTGACAAGGCGCCAGAGAAGGTTTTCGAGGGACACCGCAGCTTCACCACGTCACACGACGAAGCTGACCTGGCGGAAGATGCAGACGCGACCGATGTCACCCCGATGGATACTGCACCCAGCATCCCCCTTACAAGCCCGCTCCAAACTCCAACCTTCATCCCTGTACACCAATTTGATACGGACAATACGACTCGCGAAGCTCACAACTACACCAGTGGGGTGCGCTGATCCCCGTATGCAGAGTTACCACAACCCAACACCTTTCAAGATACCCTCCGCCTCGGCAACGAAAGTGACGACGACGTACTCGAAGTTACCAGCTTCCACGACTACGACCGCCTCCACTACAAAAAGACCAACGAAACTGGACTTCGCGTCCTCGGACTCGCCGTAGCTGTTCGCCACGAATAACCACTGTTCGCCAAGCTCTGTCTGGCCCCGACAGTGACAAATGGAGGGCAGCCATGGCCGCATAATTTGCGTTGCTACAGCGGCGTGGCACCTGGAAGCTGGTCCCTCGGTCATCGGTCGGCAATGGGGAGAAGAATTCTCAGCGGCAAATGGGTCTTCCGCATCAAAACTCTGGCGGATGGTTCCATCGATAAGTAGAAAGCGCGATGGGTGCTGCGCGGTTTCGAGCAAACGCACCTGGTGGATTTCACTCTCACCTTCGCACCTGTCGGACGCCACACCTCGGTGCGCATTCTCATCTGCATCGCAGCCGTCAAATAGCGACCGCTTTGTCAAATCGATATCAACAACGCCTTTCTGTACGCTCATGTTGACGCCATCATCTTCGTCGAGCAGCCGCATGCCTTCGAAGAAACCAATGGCGCCGTGTGCCTCCTCCAGAAATCCCTTTACGGGATCAAGAAAGCACCTCGTCTGTGGCAGCAGTATCTCCATTCGGTTCTTAACGAGCTCGGTATCGTCCAACTACCACATGACATCGGAATGTACTGACGAGAATCGCGTGGCAAGTTTATTCTCCTCGTCGCCTACGTCAACGATCTCCTCTACACCGGTGACGACACGGAGCTGTTGGACCAGTTCGAAGCTGATATAACGGAGAAGCTCGAGGTGACGATCAATCACAACGTCACACAGTTCTTGGGACTTAATGTCACTCAGTCCGCATCTTCTATTCACATCTCCGCCGCCAAATACGCCGAAACACTCGCGAAGCGGTTCGCCATCGCACCAATCAACCTCACCACTCCCTACCGCACTCCTCCTAATTATGAGCTGGACACCACACCTCTCTCTATCGACGATCATCGGCTCTATCAACAGCAGCTAGGATGTCTCTTGTTCGCCGCCGTCACGTGCCGGCCCGATCTCTCCTACGTCGCAAGCCAGCTCGCACAGTACGTGAAGAGACCTGAAGGGGAGAATCTAGTGGACCTACGCCTAGCACTGCAGTACTTCATCTCCACTCTTGACGTCGGCCTCACCTACAAAGCTAACCTCACCGCTACTCTGCAGCTTCATGGCTACGTAGATGCTGACCACGCAGGAGACGTTGACAACAAGCGCTTCCGCACAGGATTCATCTTCCAAATCCAACCTGCTGGAATCATCTCCTGGAACTCTCAGAAGCAGGAACTTATCGCCCTTTCGTCAGCTGAAGCTGAGTTCATCGCTGCCAGTGCACCTGTTCGCGAAGGACTGTATCTAATGGGGCTCCTGGAAGAAGCGAAAATGACGATGAACGGACACTTCACGTTACTCTGCGACAATCAGAGCGCGATCAAGATCGCGAACAAGCCTGGTTCGTAAACCGCACGAAGCAGATCGCAGTTCGCTACTTCTTCTTCTTCTTCTTCTTCTTTTCTTCTTCTTCTTTTCTTCTTCTTCTTCTTCTTCTTCTTCTTCTTCTTCTTCTTCTTCTTCTTCTTCTTCTTCTTCTTCTTCTTCTTCTTCTTCTTCTTCTTTCTTCTTCTTCTTCTTCTTCTTCTTCTTCTTCTTCTTCTTCTTCTTCGCTATTTCTTCAAGAAATTGTCACGCCAGTAGTACCAGCGCTGCATCAACCTCTGCGGGATCTGTCAAACATTATATATGTTTGGTTTGTTAGGCTACAGTGGGTTAGCCTGTATGGGGTACACAATTCTAGGGTTAGCTATTTGTACTGATTTCTCTGTTAGTTCAATCATTCCAGTCTTGTAATCTTGACATGGTTTCAGAGCAGGTCCTTCCCTAGGACCGTTTTTAAGGGCCCACCTAACTACCTACATACCTATCAAGCGCCCCTAGTGCGCCTCCTATTGCGCCCTCAGTGCGCCTCCTATTGCGCCCCTAGTGCGCTATCCCTTTTTTTTACCGCGCGCGATCTGCTAGCCGCCCGCGCGCGGCCTATTTCGTGCGCGCGACCAGCCAGCAGCCCGCGCGCGGCCATTTTTCGCGCGCGCCTAGCTAGCCGCCGGCGCGCGCGGCTCTTTTTTCTTCGAGCGCGGCCCGTCGCGCTGCTCCGTGCTGCGCTCGACCCCCCCGCGCCTTCGTCGCCGCGGTCGGGCCTTCAGCAACAGCCGCGGCAGAGACTGCAGTCGCGGCCGTCGCAACTGCTGCAGCAGCCGCCGCCGCCTCTCCTGCCGCGGCCGCCGCTGCATCTACAGCAGCTGCAGCCGCCACATCTACTGCAACAGCCGCCGCTGCAGCTACAGCAGCAGCAGCCGCCGCATCTTCTGCAGCAGCCGCCGCTGCATCCACAGCAGCAGCAGCCGCCGCTGCATCTCCAGCAGCAGCAGCCGCCGCGCCTTCTGCAGCAGCCGCCGCTGCATCTACAGCGGCAGCAGCTGCCGCATCATCTACAGCAGCGGCCGCCGCCGCATCTACGGCAGCAGCAGCCGCCGCAATCTACAGCAGCGGCCGCCGCAGCTACAGCAGAATCAGCCGCCGCTGCCTCTGCAGCAGCAGCCGCCGCCGACCCAGCAGCAGCAGCCGTAGCCGAACCTGCAGCATCTGCTGCCGCTGTCTCGACTGCCCCGGCCTTGCCTTGCCCTGCTGCTACTGTCACTGCCACGTTTATTACTTACTCTTCCTCCTCCTGCTACCATGGCTACTGCTCCTGTTCTAGCCTTCGACGCTGAGGGCCGCCCAGTGAAATTTGACACCTGGCTCGATGATCTGCACCTTTTCCTACAGCTCACTGCCAAGGAAGACATTTCACTGTACGACCACGCCCTAGGCCATGCTACTGCCCCTGACTCCTCTGCTGCTAGCACACTGCGCTCCCAGTGGCAGACCCGCGACGCACACGCTCGCTTTGCTATCCGCAACTCCCTGCCGCTAGATGAGCGCGAGCACTTCGGCCAGTGCAAGACTGCTAAGGAACTGTACACAGCCGTAGTTGCTCGCTACTCCTCGCCTGCGTCTGCCACCCTAGGCCGCCTCTCCCTGCCCTACCTGTTCCCCGACCTGGCCTCCTTTCACACTGTCGCTGATCTCATCACCCACCTCAAGACTAGTGAGGCCCGTTTTCGCGCTGCCATGCCTGCCGAGTTCCTTGCTAGCAACCCCCCCCCGCTCTGGCTCACCCTCTACCACATTGTCACCCGCCTCCCTGACTCTCTGCGTGCAGTCAGGGACTCCTTTCTAGCTCGCTCCCCTACTGAGCTCACCATTGCCCTCCTCGAGAAGGACCTACTTGCAGCTGAGGCGAGCATCGTCGCCGTAGGTGCCTCTCGTGGCGAGCCCCGCACCCCCTTCTTCGAGGGGTGTTCCCCTTCCCCCCTTCTCCCCTCTGTCGCCACTGCTGCTGCTGTCGACCTCCTTGGTGCTGAGAAGGTCGGGGCTGCGTCTGCTTCGAGCGGGCGCCGCAAGAGCAGGGGGGGCAAGGGTGGGGGTGGAGGCGGGGGAGGCGGGGGTGGAGACAGTGGAGGTGGCGGTGGGTCTGGAGAGGCTAGTGGCGGCAGTGGGGGTGGTGACAGCGGCGGCGGGGGTGGTGGCAGAGGCGGAGGTGGCAGCGGCGGCGGTGGCGGTCGTGGCCGTGGCAGGGGTGGAGGTGGCCGAGGCGGTGGCGGTGGCGGTGGCGGTGGTGGCCGTGGAGACGCTGGAGGTGGCCAGAGTCAGCAGCACGCCCCGACCCTCCAGGCCGCCCGTGAGTGGTACGCGCAGCGTGGGTACACTTGCACGTACGTCATCCGCACTGGTGACCGCACTGGCCAGCCATGTGGGAGGTCGCACCCCACGCAGCGCTGCTTCCAGCGCCTGACTGACGCGTGGCGCATCCAGTTTCCTGGGTCTACTGAGCTCCCCCGCTGGCCTGAGCTGGAAAAGAAGGGTGTTGATATCTGGGCTTTAGACTTTGATGCTATTCTCACTGCTATGTATGCGATGTCTATTAGTGGAGAGGGTGCCCAGTACTTGCGTGTTCCGCCCGACCCGGGCATTCAGGCCAGCCCAGCTGCTGCTCTAGGTGCTAGTGTGTCTGCTCCCACAGGTCCTGCTGCAGCAGCTGCCCTAGGTGCTAGTGCGTCTGTGCCCCCTGGTACTGAGTCGACTGCAGCACTCCACACCTTCACACTGGACTCAGGTGCTTCTCGCTCTTTCTTTCGTGACCGCACTGTCCTTGAGCCACTAGCTCGGCCGGTTGCTGTCTCTCTTGCTGACCCCTCTGGGGGTCCGGTCATTGCGACCTCCTCCACTACACTTCCGTGTCCAGCGGTTCCGTCCGGCACGCTCTCAGGTCTCTACCTCCCCTCGTTCTCTACGAACTTGGTGGCAGGTTGTGCGCTGCAGGACGGGGGTGTTCACCAGTTCACCCCTGCCTACGAGCGTGTGACACACTGCACGTGTGCTCGGACGGGCCGCCACCTGGCTACTTTCACTCGAGAGCCGGGGTCGGACCTGTACACACTGACCACTGAGTCCCCTCAGGTAGCTGCGTCTGCGTCTGCGTCAGGTCAGCTATCCGCCCCCTGCTCGTGTCGCTCTCTGGCGCATGAGACTGTCCTCTGGCACCACCGCCTTGGTCACCCGTCTGTGCAGCGCCTTCGGGCCATGCACAAACGGGACCTTGTTGCTGGTCTTCCCAGGGTGCTCCCTCCCCTTCCCGACTCCCCTGCTCCTGACTGCATTCCCTGTGTCGAGGGGCGGCAGCGCGCCGCTCCTCACTCCTCCTCCTTTCCCCCGACGACTGCTCCCTTGCAGACGCTCCACATGGACGTGTGGGGCCCAGCCCGCGTCCGTGGTCAGGGTCAGGAGAGGTACTTCCTGATAGTTGTTGACGACTACTCGCGCTACACCACAGTCTTCCCCTTGCGCGCCAAGGGTGACGTCCCTGGTGTTTTGATCCCCTGGATCAGTCGAGCCCGTCTCCAGCTAGGCAAGCGCTTTCACTCGGACTTTCCTGTCCTGCGCTTGCACTCTGACAGAGGTGGTGAGTTCGCCTCCGACCTCTTGGCAGCCTACTGTGCTGAGCACGGTATTGAGCAGTCGTTCACGCTTCCGGCCTCTCCGCAGCAGAATGGGGTCGCTGAGCGCCGCATTGGCCTAGTCATGGAGGTCGCTCGTACCTCCCTGACCCATGCGGCTGCTCCCCACTTTCTGTGGCCGTTTGCGGTCCGATACGCTGCGCATCAGCTCAACCTCTGGCCCCGTGTCTCCTTGCCGGAGACTTCCCCGACTCTGCGGTGGACGGGAGAGGTTGGCGATGCGTCGCGTTTCCGGATCTGGGGATCTCGAGCTTTTGTCCGCGACACGTCCGCGGACAAGCTCTCGCGTCGCGCCGTTCCCTGTGTCTTTCTTGGCTTTGTGCCTGACGCGCCTGGATGGCAGTTTTACCACGTCACCTCGCGCCGGGTTCTGGCCTCTCAGGACGTCACTTTTGACGAGTCCGTCCCCTTCTACCGCCTCTTCCCCTACCGCACTGCCCCGCTCCCCCCCCCGCCTCTCTTCCTCGCTCCAGGTGCTGAGGTACCAGACCCCCTCCCCCCTCAGGGTGCCGCTCCCTCAGGTGTGTCCCAGGTAGACCCGGGTGAGCCTGTCGAGGTAGCTGTTGACTCGCGTCCTGCGTCTGGGGGTGCTGAGCCTGGGGGTGCTGAGTCTGGGGGTGCTGAGTCTGGGGGTGCAGAGCCTGGACGTGCGGAGCCTGGGGGTGCTGAGCCTGGAGGTGCGGAGCCTGGAGGTGCGGAGCCTGGTGGTGCTGAGTCTGGGGCTGCTGAGTCTGGGGGTGCTGAGTCTTCGGGTGCTGAGCCTGAGCGTACTACACCTGGAGGAGCCCTCTCCTCCCAGCAGCTGCAGGAGAGGTACCTCGAGTACTGCCGCCTCCGGAGAGGTGCTTCTGGAGCTCGTCCCAGTACTTCCCCTCCTACCCAGGAGCTCCCCCCCATTCAGGTGATCCGAGAGTGGTACACACGGCGCTGCAGTCTTCGGAGTGGTGCTCCTGGTGCAGCGGACCCGAGCGGTGGCGCTGTTGCTGGTGCTGAGGACCCGGACGCTGGAGCTGCTGCTGGTGCTGAGGACCCGGGCGTTGGAGCTGCTGTTGGTGCTGAGGACCCGACCGGCGGCGCTACTGCTGGTGCTGAGGACCTGACCGGTGGCTCTGCTGCTGGTACTGAGGACCCGGGCGTTGGAGCTGCTGCTGGTGCTGAGGACCCGGGCGTTGGAGCTGCTGCTGGTGCTGAGGACTCGGGCGTTGGAGCTGCTGCTGGTGTTGAGGACCCGGGTGTTGGAGCTGCTGCTGGTGCTGAGGACTCGGGCGTTGGGGCTGCCGCTGGTGTCCCTGCTGGTTCTGGAGACGCTGTGCGGCCGCGACCGTACTTCGTACCACTCCTTCAGCAGGTTCTTGGTCAGGCTCCTCCTCCTAGTCCTCCTCCCACCGTCGAGTGTCCTCTGCCTGTCCCACCGCAGTCACAGTTACCGCCTGCCTCGCCTCTCCCTGCTCCCTCTCCTTACACTGGTCCCACAGGAGGTCTTACAGAGCGTCGTGAGCCTGAGTCTCGTCCTGCGTCGCCTGTTCGTACTACTCGCACTGGTCGTCGTATCCCACGTGAGCGTCCCCCTCCTGTCCCTGGCACTCACTACATGACCTTGCGTCCCTCCACTGCTCCGCAGCGTGTCCCGCTGCCGTCTCCTCCTGCGTCATCTCTTCCTACTCTTCCTGACCCGGAGTCTGACTCCCGTCGTGCGGCCAGTCCCACTGTTACGCGTCTCCTCGCTACAGTTGTCACTGACCCGACCTTTGAGTCCTCTGCTGCGTCTGCTCTGGTCGCTGAGCTGGTTGACTTTGCTGCTCGCTGTCGCTTAGACTACGCTGCCAGCCTTGTCGCTGAGTCTGAGTCTGAGTCTGCCTGTCCTCCGTCCGTCGGGGGTGAGTGTGCTCTTGGCACGGACGTCCTTGAGGACAGACAGGAGGAGTTCCAGTGCTTTGCTGCTGCTTTGCCCCATCTCGTGTCCATGCTTGTTGCCCCTGAGGGAGACCCGGATGCACCAGACATCCCGACCCCGCGCTCTTACGCTGAGGCGATGGCGGGTCCCTACTCCTCTCAGTGGCAGACAGCCATGGACGCAGAGATGGCTTCCTGGAAGTCCACAGGCACCTACGTCGACGACGTTCCCCCTCCTGGGGCGAACATCGTCAGTGGCATGTGGATTTTCAGGGTGAAGCGGCCGCCGGGTTCTCCTCCTGTCTTCAAGGCACGCTACGTGGCTCGAGGCTTCAGTCAGCGAGAGGGAGTCGACTTCTTCCAGACCTTCTCCCCCACCCCGAAGATGACCACTCTTCGGGTGCTGCTGCACATAGCCGCTCACCGCGACTACGAGCTTCACTCACTTGACTTCAGCACTGCTTTCTTGCAGGGCAGCCTGCACGAGGAGATCTGGTTGCGCCGCCCTCCTGGTTTCACTGGGTCGGTTCCTCCTGGCACCCAGTGGAGGCTTCAGCGGCCGGTCTACGGTCTCCGCCAGGCGCCACGTGAGTGGCACGACACACTGAGGACGACGCTTGCGGCTCTTGGGTTCGCTCCCTCTACTGCTGACCCGTCGCTGTTTCTACGCACCGACACCTCGCTGCCGCCGTTCTACATCCTCGTGTACGTTGACGACTTGGTCTTTGCCACAGCTGACACAGCGGCACTCGCCCACGTGAAGTCGGAGCTGCAGAGGAGACACACGTGCACAGACCTGGGTGAGCTGACAAGCTATCTTGGCTTGCGGATCACCCGGGACAGAGCACGGCGCACCATCACCTTGACTCAGTCACACATGGTGCAGCAGGTTCTCCAGCGCTTCCGCTTCACGTACTCCTCGCCTCAGTCCACTCCTCTGCCTACCGGTCACTCGCTCTCAGCTCTGCCTTCGGATGAGTCCGTAGAGTCGAGTGGCCCGTATCCAGAGCTTGTGGGCTGCCTCATGTACCTGATGACCTGCACTCGACCTGACCTTGCATACCCCCTTAGCATCTTAGCACGCTATGTCGCTCCTGGCCGTCACAGGAAGGAGCACATGGATGCTGCTAAGAGGGTGTTGCGCTACTTGTGCAGTACGTCGGGCATGGGGCTTGTGCTTGGAGGGCGGGACCGGGTTGTTCTCACAGGGCACTCAGATGCTTCTTGGGCAGACGACCAGGCTACTCAGCGGTCGTCACAGGGTTACACCTTCAGCCTTGGCTCTGGCTCAGTTTCTTGGCGTTCTACTCGTTCGTCTTCTGTTCTCAGCTCCAGTT